TTGATGGAAGCACTCCTTCATAAAGTCCTGAATAAATGAAGCAGACTCTTATTTTTCGGTTTTTTTCTTCTTGAAGACAAATCCAGGTTGAAAAGAGCCATCCTCCTGGTGGCTGCTGTGAGCCAGCAGGAGTCCAGTGGGGAACCCTGAAGAAAGTTGGCTGTGGCTCCCAAGCTGTGGTTTGGCACATATCCTCTCCAAGATCTCTGCCAAATATTCAGACTCCTTTTTAGTGTGTGTGGTTTTTTTTTTCTTTTCATGTTGGCATTTTATTTAACTGTACCATATGAGTTTAAGGCTGTTAGTTTGATACAGTTTGTCGCCAGAATGGGCTGTTTTGTGTGGGGTTCTTTGATGGAAAGTAAAAATATGAGGTGTATGTAGAAGGTGAACAAATTGTGTTGAGAGGAGGTTGTAGGAAAGGTAACGTGAAGCAGTAATATTGGGTCTGGTTAGTGTATCTCTCTTGTGTGGGAATTTAACATCACCTCTGCATGCCAAGTTAAGGAGATCCTTGGTTCTCACTGGCAAAGTGTGGGAGAGGGGAGAAACATGGATACCCAACAAAATTTCGGATCTTTTCCCCAGATGCATTAAAACACAAGTTTTCCAGCAGCTGGGCTTGGTGTATGCAGTGAGGAGTCCAGGGTGATCCTCCAGCACTTCCCTAAATCTTCCTTTCCAAGGGAGTCTGGGATTCCAGAATGAACCCTTTGCTGAGCTGAGCACTGACTGGGGAGTTGCGTCAGATGCAGCAGCATTGTTCTGGATCAGCCTGACCCCTTTTAAAACAATACGTACTTTTCCAACACTAATAGAAACCTTAGCTGAGGTTCTCTCCCTTTCTGTGTGTATGCCTGAGCATTAAACTGGGAAAAAAAAATCCCAGATGTGAATCTATAAACCATCTGTTTAAAATAACTATTGTGCAGGACTATAATTAAAAGTTATTTATTATGAATCCTGGGATCCTATTATGGATTTGACTGACTCCCAGGTTCCTGACTTAGCAAACGGTTTATGTATTTATGGACCATGTGTCTCTTTTGCACTTCTTGGTGCCAGAGTGAATGTCTTTTAAACAAAAGGGAAAAAAATCCTCTACCCTCCCATAACTGTTGGCTTCTGATTGTTGCCGTCTAAGAAGTTTTCTCTTAAGAACAGCAAAATTCAAAGCATCTGAGAGCTTTCAACAGATTCAGAGATGCTGTTGACAGCACAGATTGAGGCTTGGTAATACAGCTCTCCTGCATGCAGCTACTTAGCGACTTTCTAAATGTATGGCTGGGACAAGTAATGAAATTTCTGTTATGATTACTAGGGGTAGGAGAGAACATAATTGGAAGGAAAGGATTTGTGGCTTAAGTTCCATTTGCTCTCAGCCTCCACTTTGCCCTTGTGAAATGGGAGGGGAGAAAGCAGCAAAATTGAAACAAGCAGCTGGACAGTAGACATTAAAGCACTGTTTTGGGCAACTGGGTGAAGGGAAAAACCCAGCCTCCAGATGACAATTACTCTTTTGTTTTATTTTTGTACTTTTACACCCAGTGGACCCAGGAGATCTGCACTGGATAATGCCTGACTGCAATAGACTAAATAATGATTTACCAGCCCTGCTTTATCTGCTGCAGGCCTGTGATGGATCAGCATGGTACATTAACCCTTTCCTCCACGTGTGCTGACCTTGTTTTCCACAAGATACAGCATTGATATAAAACAGCAGGACTTTTAAAAATAATTTTGGGGTAATAGTAATAGAAGCAGTAGGAGGGTGCACTTCCCTGGAGCTGCATTCATTGTCTTACTTCAAGAGGGATTTTGCCATGAGGACTATACCAGGGCAGCAATATGTTGCAACTGTGGCTCTACTGTATGCTTTTTGAACAAAAGGCTCCACAAGGAGTGGTAGGGCTGCGACCCTGAGTGATGCTATACCTCGCACTCTGGAGGAGCAGTCCAGCCCTCATGACAGGGAGTTAGGCAGCTTGGGATGACCTCTGAAATAGCCTGTTTTGGAGTTGTCTGGGCCTTGCCTATAACAAGCTATAGAGGATGAACATCAGCTTTGCAAATCCTACCCTGTTTTAGTGCTTGGCTGCTCCTGTGCTGGCAAAGATTGGCTCTATTTACCTGGGATACATGAATCTGTTCTTTAAGGCAGGAGGATGCAGCTTCTCCTCCAAGGGACAGAGCTAATCTTCCATATTGATTTTAGGAAAAACAATCAAACCAAAACATAAAAACCCAAACCAAACAAAAACAAAATGAAAAAACCCAAACCAAACCAAAAAACCAACAACAACAACAAAAAAAGTGCAGTGGGTGGTGAGTGTGGCACCTCTTCCCCGCCTTTCAGCACCTTGCTGTAATAACTGAGCTTGGAGTCAGTGATCCAGATTTGCTGCCCTCCACATCCAGAGGCAATCCAATGCCTCATCCCCTGCTTTTCGCACAAGTACCCTTGCTGTAAGAACCAGTGGCTTGTGGGAGCACGAAGAACAAACCCCTTTCTGCCAAAGCCAGGCTACTGAACAGCAAATAGTTCAAAGTCTACTGAGATAGAGAAAGGAAATATGAATCTGTAGCCTACTGCTTAAGACACCCTCATAGGTGGAAGGACCCTTCAGTTCCTGTCACTGCACTGTGGGCCACTAATATTCTTCATGTGGAACAACTGCTTAATGCAAAACAGCCCTTGGCATCAGCACGTGAATTCCAAACTCTTCCCTCCCAGAAAACCTGCTAAACCAGAAGCTTTGCTGGTGATAAGGAAAGAAGAGCAAGACCCAAATTTGGCTGGTCCCTAGGGTGGCTCAATGATACCAAGCTCATAACTGGCGAGAATTTTTCTGATTTTAGCAACATGGGGGAAACAGGAGGCTTCTACTGGGAACAGTAGCAGGTAAGTATCTTCTGTTTGAAATAGGTGTGCTGGGGTCATCCTTGGGAACTCCTTGCATTGCCAACAAGAAGAAACCATGTCAAGACATACCTAAAGGCAGAAGGAGGCAGACAGCACTCAGGGGAGAAATTGCCTGGGAAGCTGGGCTGCATGAAGAATTTACCCCAGTAGTCCTCTGGGAATTAGGGAATTAAAAAAAAAAATAAATACAGAGCTGTGTTATTTACTTTTTGTCTCTCTTGCTGCCATCTGCAACAATAATGTCATCCTTTGAGGAAGGAGTCCGATGGGTAGCTGCCCACTGGCCCCCCTTACACACATCCAGCCCAGCTTGGTTGGTTCTGAAGGGCACTGTGCAGCTTGCTTCTCTCAGAGGTGCATGATGCATGCTGCAGCTGGGTGAACCATGCTCTCTGCAGGAACAAACTCTAAACTGAGTTTTGCTCTTCCTTCACACCCACTTTCACAGATTTTCCCACAGATAAAGGTAGTGGGGCTGATAGGATAATTAAATCTTTCCTTAAGCAAACTCATTAAAGAGAATCAGATCTTAGCAGAACCCTTTAAAATACAGACTGTAGTTGAGTTGGTAAGCTTGATTCTGCTGCCCTTGAGCAGACTTTGTGGGGGCACTAAGTTCCTGTAAAGGGGATCAAGATTCCACTGAGCTCTTTAAAAGAGATATTGAACTAGTTGCAATTCTGTGTTGTGACTGCTTTGTGCCATTTCAGAGCTACAGACCTGCCATAATTCAGCTTAACCTGCTGGTTAAATTGCATTTTTGGTTGTTCTGCAGTGCTGGAGTGATGCAGAACAACCAGCATGTAGTAGTGACCTGGCTTTTTACAGTGATTGTGTTGCTACAGCTGCACTTTAGGGCCTGATTCTCATTTGCTGATTTCACACTGTCTTGGTGAGAGTGAGTCCTCATTTACACTGATAAGACTGAAGTGCCTTTATAGCTCCCATCAGATCAGGCAGTGACTTTGAAGTAAATAAACCTCTGATTTTAGACAAAGGGCTGGAGTGTAATAAAAGCTGCATGTTATTCTTCACAGGCACCTTGAATAAGGCCACAGGGAGCAAAATAAAAAGACTGGAAAGCACAGCTTCTTTTTGTTTAGTTTTATGATTTACATTTTTCTAGCCCTTTAATTTTTTGGTCTCTAATTAAGTCATAAGATTGGGTGAAGTGGGTACTTGCATGTACTAGATGACCACCTGTGTCACCTAATGAACTGAGCTACTAATTATAGGTGGAGGTGACTTCAGAGGGCTACTTTAAATAAGGAATTTGAAGTAGCAAAATTTTGCTAAAATAAACACCTGAAGTATTTGTTTTCTGCACCTATTTAATGGCAGGGATAACCAGAAGAGTTGACATCACTGGGGCAAGGTAGGCAATAAATGGAATATTTCTGTTGCCTGCTGTTGCACATCCTCTGTTCACATTCCTTACTGTGGTCAATGTGCTCTTTGCCTTGTGAAATCACTGGCTTTTTGCCATAGCAAGATGACACTATAATGTACAGTGACTCTGTCTGCTCATGGTGTTTCATTGATTCTCAGCATTTTGGGGAGAAAGATGAATTACATTAATCATCTTGCCTGGTTTAGAACATAGTATCATCTTTTAAAGAACCTCTAGGTAAAATTGATTTTCTGCAGTGGCAGAATTTTGTTTTCTTTGAGGTTTCTGCCTCTTTCTGTGGTGTTTCTCTGTCACAGTGAGATGTGATTCCTGAGCTGTGCAGTTCATGGGGCAGCTTCTCAAGGCCTTGAGGATATTTTAACAAGCACACGATGTAGGTAGTTGTTCATTTAAGTAACATGGATTTCTTCACTGCGGTACATTTTCTATATGAGACTGGGTAGCAGTCATGACAACACCATTTACTTGGGCTCCTGGATTATTCAATGACTGTTTTCTACTGTGTTCCTTCAAGAGAAGAAAGATGTATTGAATCACAAGGACCTCTCCTGAAGCAAAAGAGCAGACTGCTGGCCCCACATTTTACTTTCTGAATTGCAAGATCCTCTAGCCTTGGGTTTGGTCTGCTTGCAATAACTTTTGTCTTTTTCTTTTTTTTCCCCCCAGAATAAGGAAGTGACGTGCAAAAGGGAGAAGTGTCCAGTGCTCTCCAAGGACTGTGCTCTTGTCATTAAGCAGAGAGGAGCTTGCTGTGAGCGTTGCAAAGGTGCCATTCCCTTCCTGTTGTTTTCTCACTTTTTAAAATGTTATCAGTGCACATTGAGGTTGCCAAAGACAGAATAAAATTCATAGCTTCTCAGGTAGGACTTGGCTGTCATCAGAGGCTAGAAAAGGGTAGTAACCATAATTTAAATATATATGTTTATAAAGCTGAGGGAAATACATAAATTCACATATTTGTCCTGCAATTATTAGTTCTTGCACAGCAACAATCCTTGAGAAATACATCTTTATTCTTCATCACTAGGTTGTCAGTTTTTTTAGAATTATCCCCTTTCTAATCTTATCAGAAATACTTTCAGTCAACATCAATCTGTTAGTAGTTGCCTGTCAGTAAGAATCTCTTTAAATTTTTATGTGGTTGGACAGAATAAGAATAATACTTCTGAGTAATAAAGAGCAGGGTCATTATCCATTCCTATGGATATTTCCTATTTTTCCTCATATTGGAAACAAACCAAGCAAATTTTATTAATTTTATTAAATATTTCCTTATTCAAACAATAATATTGTGGACATTTTAATGAAAAGCAAATAAACAACAATCTGAATATTATACATTTATTTATTGACCAATATTATATATTCCAAGCTGTTTAAAATGAGATAATGATTAAATAATTGTAAAAAAGTGTTAGCATGCATGGCATGTATCTGCTATGTTTAATGACATGAAAAATATGCACGTGGATGAAGTTGAAAAGTAGTCTTTTCTTTTTTTGTATTGATGTAAGTAACGTGCCCTAAAGCACTAATTTTGCTGAGGGACTTCTTCCACAATCAACGAGGTGGAGAATGTCAAATTCAGGCAGCTTTATTTTATTTTCCTCTGTCATTTTTAATTCTCCACTGGTGATTGTGAAGTATTGAGAGGGAGATAGGGTAGGATAAATTGTTGGGAAATAAAGCATTTCTTGCCTTCCCAGAGGAAATGCAAATGCAGGAAAACAGATAATGCTGGAATTCAGATGGAAGAGAAAATATTGAATGTATATTTTTCCTGGAAGGTTGCAGAGGTGTGTTAGATGCTGTACTTATATTTTCTTCTGTGCTGCAGCTTTGGAATAGGTTTGGCAAGCCCCAATTCTAGGATTTGTCTAGAAACATGGCACTTAAAAGAGAAGGAAATTAACTGGAAAACAATTAAACCATTACTGAAACAATAATAATTTGAAATAACAGATTTTACATAAATTACATGTAATTGATTTCTTTTGTCAAATTGTGTTTAGTATCAGCTTTGTAGGAAAAGGTTGCTAAGTGTCGGTTGGATTAGGATGGAGTTTGATTTTTCAATTTCATAATGGGATGGGAATTTGCTCAATGGTCTAAAAATTATATATATACAAATATGCATATATACATGCATGCGTGCAAAATGAAAAGAGTAAATGTTTAAAAGCTGAAAAAACAATATTTTAATTCAGACTCCTTTAAAGATTTTTTGTCTGGTGTTTCTCTTTATCCTGAATTGGGGTGGGTACTGACAGAACATTATTGATAGTCTTGTGCCTGGCATCTGCAGATTGATATGCTTGACATCTCTAATGGGATAATTCATAGAAACTATTCAAAAACAGAATTAGCAGGATAGAAGAGGGATGAGTTAGCCTGGGTCCTTTGAATGTATCAATGGACAGAGAGATGCCACTAATAGGCATCCAACAAGATCCCTCATAAGGAATCTGCTGAAGAAACTAAGCAGCCCTGGGTTTTTAGAGATGCTCTTCTCATCAGCAAATAAGTAACTAATGTATGGTTGTCTTCATAGTGAAAAAAGGTTGCCAACATATCCTTGCAAAGATCTCTATTTGTCAAAGTGCTCAGAAATGATATAGAAAAGGGATGAGGAGGGTCAGGAAGTTTGCTGCTGGTGACCTGATCTCTGTAGCATAGTAAAGCAAGAGGACAGCCTGTGAGGAGCTGCAGAAGGTTGAACAGGCACTGAACAACTGATGACAAAGCAGCAAAGGAAGTTAATGTGGATGGGAATAAATGGATGCATATAAGGCAAAACAGTCCTAACTTTACAAATACAATACTGGGCTCTGAGTTGACAATAACTGAATGGCAACTATTTCTGAGTGTTATAAAAGATACTTCTGTGGCCCAATCAACTCAACATTCAGCTATTCTCCCAAGAGAAAATTGAACTCTGTTAGGAAAGGAGCAAGATACAAACCAAAATGCCCTGTTTTCCCTCTGAGTCAGACAGACTGCTTATTCCTGCTCTTCTGGGGGCTAAACTAGAACTATGGACCTTGGTCTGTATTTTTCACACTTCCTAAGGCGTCTCTTAGTAGCTGCTATCAGACAGAAGCTAATTGACTAGAAGGGTTCTTGGTCTGATCTAAGATGGCAACTTCCATGTGCTAAAAATGCAAGAAGAACATTAAATATCGTAATTCAAACAAAAAAAAAAGCTCTCAAAGACTGAATTTTCAAAGTAAATGTGAAATTTCTGAATAAGTCTTTTTGCACTTTGTGAAAGGCAAAGCAAAATATGCACTCATTTAACTCCCACAGTCTTGACACCACACTCTGTCACCAGGTTGTTCTGGTTCCAGGGGAAGAGGCTGATGGAACCACCTCTACCCCAGCGGAGGCTGCTTGCTCTCTCACCACTCTAAACACTGCTCTGTTTTGTGTGAGACTGAAAATGAGTGTCCCATGGGGAGTAACTGGGGAATCAAGGCTGCAAATACCAGCCTGGCAACATAGCATTTCAGCTACTCCCTTTTTCAGCTCCCCAGCACTCCCCCCACGAAGCTCAGCTGCTGGTAGGACTTGGCCCTACAGCACTTATTCTCAGTTACTATTTTGTCAAGCTGCCAGAGTGCCCATGGGGAATGCAAGCAGGAAAAGGGAAACAGGGTTTTTTGGCTCTTTTTTTTTTATTTAAAGTTGCATTTCATCTAAACATGAACAAAATATTACCAAGGAAAAACATCAGAACCTGATGGCTTTTTTTCTTGGCTTTGTTCCTAAAGCCTGGGAGAGCTTAATCAGGCCTTATAGGCTCTTGCCAGATCTTTTTGATAGTTTCACATTTTCCTACCTTATGAAGAAATGAATGAATGACTGAGTGAATGAATGAATGAATGAATGAATGGCTATTGTCACCTGAGTGCAACATCAGGAAGATAACATTAAGGCCAAAGGGCATGTTCCAGAGTGGACTCGTGTAGGAAGGAGATCACTGCTCATGAGTCATTTGTGACACTTCTGCCAGTGCATTTTATTCTATCAGGAGGAGCACGAGGACATTCCTCGTGGGGTTGGACTAAAGGTCCCTTGCAACCCAAACTATTCTATGATTGTATCTGCAGAAATGCACGCACCTGAATTCTATTATTCAGAGCTTTTCATACAGGAGAAACTGAATTGTTGGTAGAGAACTTTTCCTGCAAATGGTGGTGTGCTGAGCATAAGTCCCTTGCTTCCATTTGGGTATTTGTACACTACATAGATAATTTCTAGCACTTCTGTTTTTCATGTTTTGTAATGAATAGAAAAAGTACAGAGCAGTCACTAGTACAGCTTTCGCAATCAAAATTGACTGTGGTGGAAAGTAGCGAATGAAAAGATTTGGCTTTGCTTTGTCACAGAATCACAGAATATCCTGAGTTGGAAGGATCCCACAAGGATCATCAAATTCTGACTCCAGGCCCTGTGCAGGGTAAAAATGTGCCTGAGAACATTGTCCAAATGCTTCTTCAACTCTGTCAGGCTTGGTGCTGTGACCACTTCCCTTGGGAACTGTTCCAGTTCCCAACCACCCTCTGAGTGAAGAACCTTTCCTTACTATCCAACTTGAACCTCTCCTGACACAGCCTCATTCCCTCAGGTCGTGTCACTGGTCACCATAGAGAAGAGACCTGTGCCTGCCCTACCTGTCCCTCTGCTTCCCCTCGTGAGGAAATTGTAGATTGCAATGAGGTCTAAGATTTAAATTAAGATTTAAGATTTAAATCCTCGACACTAGCGATGTGTTTTAACACTGTTCTTGACTTTATGCCCATTTAGGACCTTAATTGTAAAGTTGGTGGGGCAAAGCTCACTTTTGCTGTGTGTTTGTGAAAAGTCTGGAACAGAGAAATGTGGGCCCATAATTATGGCTCTTTGCTGCATGGAGAATGCAGGTGACTCAGTCTAATAGGAAAAGTTTTCAGTAAGATTATTCTTTTGACAGATATTTACTGTAGTTTATAAAATATACCACATGCCTCTGGCATGCTATTCATTCTGAAAATACTGAAAAATTAAGCCCTCTTATTACTTTTGCATGGGATAAATAGGCCACTTTTCATCTCTCATTTTAATTAATATATTTAATGAAAACTTATGAGGTCACTGAGATTACAGAAATAGATTTGGCAACATTATCTTATTTAGTTGGATGGAAACCTGTCACTTAGATATAGAGTTCTCTACACATCGAATAGTAAGTTATTTGCACTCTGAAGAAGTGGTATTACTGGGTCAGGACTGCATAAAGTTTGCATTTCTAAAATTGTGTGCCATATTCTACTCTCTTAAGAATCTTAATCTTCTATGGCTGGGTAAAGACAAAGTTGATGGGAATTCTTTTACAACAAAGAAAATATGTTAAGAATTTTCTTTCTCTTCCCATATGCAATTTTGCATTTCTGTCCTTATCAACTTTTGAGAATTACAGTTTTTCTTCATTGTTGTTGTAGTTTTCTGGGTTTTTTTGTTTTCTTTTTAATAATTAATCATTGATCTTGGAAAGTCTTGTACTATACTCCATTGATATGGAATCTATCAGAGAATGGAATCCCAGCCCAGGCAACAACAGTGCTAGGTCTACTAAATATTGAATATCCAAAGATGTCATAGTTAATTGTACATTTCTTGGAAAAGATATCAAATACTATGGTTGAGGATTGCAGCCAATTTCAACTATTAGGCTGGCTTGCAAAGGAAGTTAGAGGGAGATTGTGAGATTACCAGTATTCTGGCTGC